AAGAGCTCCCTTGAAAGATGAGCTCTGCAGGATTAAACTAACATACTCTAATTTCTGTAGACAACTAAAAAGATGAAGAAGCTGGAAAAGGACACAGCCACATGGAAAGCCCGGTTTGAAAGCTGTAACAAAGCATTACTGGACATGATTGAAGAGGTAAGGTAGTTTTCACTGCCCCATTTAGCCACAGTATTCACTCTGAGAGTGGAACAATCCAGGAGTACAAATGGTTGTATTTAAAAAAGAGCTAAAGATCAGGAGATGTGTCATGTTAAAATGTAATAAATATAAAAGCAAAGGCCATTCTGGATCCCATCCTGACTCACAAAAGTTTGGAGACCCTAGGTCACATGTCTTGATTCAGAGCACTACCTGCCTGCTACATGGTGGATTAGGTAATGTCTTACATGGCTTTGAGTTTCCCCTGTGGCTAGCTCCTAACATGAACTAATTAACTGGTTTCTTTACATTAAGAAAAGGCACCAGTTCAAGAAGTGAGGGTATATACCACTTTATAGATAGACGTGGAAAAAAAATTAACTCCTCCAACAAGCATAAACAGAGTTGCTATGTCAAGTCTAAATAGGTTCTGCAATTCTAAAGACAAAGATACAAGGCCCCAGACCTGAGAGGGGGACTTATAGGTGAAGCCCTCTTCATGGTAACTAGTGAAGAAAGGTTCAAAAGGTACAGAATAGCTCAAAGATGAAGGTAAAGAGTGAGACGATTTGGAACATGTTTGTATACAAACACATTTCTAGAGAAAAGAATAGATGAAGTAGAAAACATCATAAATTAATATGTGATGAGTAATTAGATAGGATAATTACTATTCTAAGAACTTATTCCAAGTTGCAACCAGTTCCAAAGATTGTCTTAGTTACTTTTCTCTCACTGCTGGGACAAAATACCTAACACCTAAAGGTAAGGAAGGAAAAGTTTATTTAGCTCACAGTTTGTAGAGGTTTCAGTCCATAATCAGCTGGATCTAAGGCAGAGCAGCACCACAGAGAGGCAACAGTTCAAGACAGCAAAAGAAGCAAGAGCAAAAAAGGGGAGAACAAGCCTCTTCTCCTCCCTTATATTGTAGGCAGTCTACCCCATACCCACACCCCTCACCTCCACACTTCCAAGCCCCCATCCTTACCCCCACGCCCACCCCAGTGGGTGTAGCACTCTTACCATCTATGCCCTCCTTTTGCACAGGATGAGGATGTTTACAAAGCGAGGACCCTGCCCACTCCCTTGAGACTTCTCAAGTTGACACAGTGTATCAACCATTACAGATATATGCTTACTACTCATCAACCTGAAGGAAACCCCGCTTGGGTTAGCACACAGTAGTGTACCTATAGCATAGATATGGCATTACTGAGGGTGAGGCACTTCTGGTCCATCTTATTGATTTTGCCACAAATTTAGGCTTATACCTTCTAAATCTTAGAATTAGAAAGCCTACCTACTTTAAGTGTTGAGGGGCTGTGGACTAAAGCATAAAGAAGCCATGCTGTCTCTATAAAAAATGGGTGGGCCTGGGGAGATAGCTCAGTAGAATAAGCACTTTCAGGGTCCTGAGTTCAATCCCCGGTACTGCAAAATATGAAGAATGGGTGATGGTGTTTAAAAGTCTACCAGATTCTAGCACACAACAAAATTATTTTAGAAAGTTTCCTGATCAAGTATCTGTTCAGTCACCATTCCATGGCCAGGCCTCAGAGCCTGAGAGACAAATTTTGGGGCAGATAGTGTGTCTCCGAGAGTATCCTGAAAATATTGTTTTTCATGTCGTTTGTGTATGTGTGTTCACATCACAGAAAGCACTGAGGGCTAAGGAATACGAGTGCTTCGTGATGAAAATTGGGAGGCTCGAGAACCTCTGCCGCGCGTTACAGGAAGAGAGAAATGAACTCTATAAAAAAATCAGAGAAGCAAAAATGCCTGACAAGGATGACCAAAGTCAGCATAGTTCTGATGAAGAGCCAGAGGCAGACAGCTCTGTGCCTAGGGAGATGGATACAGAGCAGGTCAAGAGTGTTCAAAATGCCGTGAAAAATTTGGCCGCTGCCTTCGCAGTTCAGCCTCCAGAGTCCATCATGGGTCCAAGCTTAGCCCATCTGGGCGGCGCTCAGGGGAGCGAGGCCTCTCCCCTCGACGAAGCAGAACAAGCCCTTCTGCCTGCTCCCTTGCCTTCTGCAAGTCCTCTGCTTCTCTCAACTCCTGAGGCCGAGGCTGAAGTGGGCAACAAGGAACAACTTGCCCCTATGGCCAGCCATACCCCCGCCAAATCTGTGAGAGAGCCGGAAGGCCACGGTCTAGCTACCAGGGTTCAAGCTGACCAGCAGTCCCAGAAGCCAGACGCAGAAGCTTCCGGTCTGTCCCCACAGGGCCCTACTCAGGCGTCCCTGTGCGGGCTGGAAGCTGATGGTTCCACTTCTGCAGAAACTTCTGGTAAGGCCCCACAACCCTCAGTGGCAAAAAAATGTCCTGCACGTGAAGGAGCTTCAGGGCAGGACTCGGCTAAGGCCTCCTCTCCCAGGATAGAGGCAAATGGTTCCACTCATGCAGAAGCTGCAGGCCAGGCCTCCACTGAAACCCCCCTATCTGAGATAGAAGCAAATGGTTCTGCCCTACCGCCCCCATCACGGGAGACTGTTCCAGGGAGTCAGTCCAAGGGGCAGCCCCTGCCGGCAGCCTCAGAAGACCTGCCCCCAGAGGCCTTCGCTGGGTCCCAGCTGCCCAGTATGTCTGACACCAGCCTGGAGGGAATCGATTAAGCCTCACCGTGCCTTCAGAGGCTTTCCTTTTGACTTTGCATCTTGGTCATTGCAAACTGTCTCTGAAAGAGGCATTAAGGACTAGGGACATCAAATGGAAGAGAGAATTGAGGCATCTTTCAATTTATGCAGAAACAGCCTTTGCCCTTCATTCTCAATTTATAACTGATAAGGAGCTTTTCTAATTTAATACTGAGCAATAGCACTTTTCCCAAATGGCAACAAAACATTCTAATAACAGAGTTTTTTATTAAGATGGAACTCAATTTTTTAATAGTAAGATTTGATGTTTAAAAGACTTATACAAGACGTAAATATTGACAATGTCCTGTTATATTGATTTTCACAGTTTCATAAGCTCCATATAGCTGAAGGATGTCAGGTTCCATGTAAACAGTAATACACGTGGACATGTGACTATAATCATGTATGTATATATATATAAAGTATATATTACATGGTTTTCTCTATGCAAAAGCTTAGTAATAAAAAAAAGTCGTATCTTTTATTTTTCAGGTGGGATACAGTAAACTAATGGTCTTTGAATCAGAAGTAGGTTCAAAAAGGAAATATTTAGGCCATTATTGTGTCGTAGGAAAATAAGTAACCCATGTTAGATCAATAAGTTCAACCAATAACAGAGCTAATGACAACGAATTCAACCTATGAATCAATAAAACCAGTGAATCAGTAAATTCAACCAATGGCTTGATTTAACTATACAATAGCAGCAGCTACATTAGATCGTAGAACTCCAAAGCGTAAGCACATCAAGGTGACCGCAGGAGGCCCTAAACAGCCGGAAGTGGCCCACCCTTCCAGCTGTCAGTCCCACACTCTTCAGCCAGCTGCCTCCTGACGCCCTCCACCTGGGAAGGCAACACTCCAGTTTGTTTGCAAAAAGGGGGTTGGAAGCCGGAGAAGAGGGAGAGGTTGAGCACTGGGAGGCCTGCGGCTGAAAAAGGGTTTTGTGCTGTTCCTGTGATCTCTTAAGACAAAATATTCACCTCTTCCTGGCTGTGACTCAGTCTGTATTCTGAATGCATCTGCTCCTTCCTCCCAAATGCCCTGCTTTGTGGGAGAAAAATCATACATAGCCCTCGGCTCAGTTAATGCTAAACAGAACCATTATTTTCCCAAAAGATGTGGATCCCAACAGGAGTGACGAGACTTACAAAGCAGCATGCACTTTCTGCTTCCAGGATTTTTCTACAACTTGGAAGTACAAAATGAAAACTACATGAGTCCCTCCTCCAAACGTCTAAAAGGAAGTGAGGATTCAAGACAAGACAAGAACTTGATGAGAACCCCAAATAATATGACAGCAAGAATTAGTCTCCTGGGGTAAAGGAAGACTCCACCCACCAGTGAAATATGAAGGAGGAAAAAGGAAGAGAAATGAAGAGCAAGACGGAAGGCAGGAAAGCAAAACCGTCTAATCATACCTTTAAAAGTTGCACTCAAGTAGAAAAGTGGTAAAAGCAAGATGCCGTACTGCTCATTCAGGAAATCCTTGGTCACTATTGCACGCGGCCCTTTGCCAAGGCTCACAAAGAGCTTGCAGGCAGCAGCCATATGTTACAAGCACTGTAAACTGCATACAATTTGTTTGAAGTAGACAGTGAGGGTGCTAAGAAAAATGCTGTTCAAGGGGAAAAATTAGGAAGAAGTATGTGTCTAGTTGAGAATCCATGTGTTTTAAAAGGCTTAAAATATAACCACAGAGGTATGCAGCCAAATTCAACATTTCTGGAAAGTAAACATTCATTTAATTCTGAGCTAAATATTCACTGTAACAATCCAGGGGGTCTGCTTTCTTCCCTCTGTTTGGAGAAGTTGAACTTCTGAGAATGAAGAGAGATTAAATAATCACAGTAGAGTCTCAGGCTGAACGCTGAGCAAGAGAAAGAGCAGATGTGCGAAAATCCAACAAATCAACTTTTTCAACACCCAGAGTTCATCATTTTCTTCCAAAAGTCTTTCATAGCAACATGTTACTCATTACTGTACTTACCTTGGGCAGAGATTCAGATACAATAATGTGCCTGAAATTTGTAAAGTTTCAAGTAGGCTTTGGAAGAATTATTTTAATATTCAGAGAATGTTTCATTATTATCCTTTGTCTTAGAATTTGGCATTCCTACTGATAACAAAACACAAAAGATTTAAAAGCAGAACAAATTTCTATTCTTTGTCAAGCTCATGTAACTATTTTTAGAGCTGGGAAGACTACTTTCTAGAAGCACTAAATTTAATAATATAATTTATGTATCTATTAAAAAGGTACTTCTCTTTCCAAACTCTCTAGTAGTGATCTTATTTGTTTTCATTTTTATTGTGTTACAGTTATGTTCCAGTAAGAATAAAACCTAACAAAAAGTTTGGTCTTACTGTATTGTTTGAATTTTCCCTAAGTAGAATGAATGTAGAGTCAACACTCTGAAAACACCAGTGTATGCGGGGGTGCATTTGCTGAGAGAGAAAAACACCAAGAGAGAGGAAACACTGAGTCCTACAAGACAGAAGAGCTAGAAAATAAAAAGCAAAACAAAACACAGTTGCTATGGTTTGAATGTGTCTTCCCAACCTTTAAGTGTTGATAACTTAGTCCTCAAATGTGTTTGGAGTTGAGGCCTTCAGGTAGTAATTCGGGTTCTTGGAGGTCAAGGGGGAAGGTCATAAGTGGCCTCATAAGAAAAAGAAGAGAGACTCAAGCTACCATGCTTGCTTTCTCTCACACATGATGCCTTCTGTCATGCTGCAGTTCAGCATGAAGGCCTTCACTAGACCCAGCGCCATGTTCCTGGTTGCAGCTTCCAAAACTGTAAGCCAAATAACTTTGTAAGTTGTTACACCGCAGGCATGTTGCTATAGCAACAAAAACCGGACAATGATTCCAGGTTTAATGCAACTAAAATTCAGACTCATCTGCCTGACCACGTAGCATCCAAAGGACCATCTTCATATGGCCAACGCGTTTCTCTTCAAGACCAGTCCTCCAGAGCTCATATTTCTGCAGTTTCTCAGCCATTTACCCTCGCTGAGAAGTAAAGGAAAGAGACTACACGTGTTGATTCATCTTTCCGCTCTCTCTCAGTTCTGACTATTCCAAGAACTTTCTCCAGCAAGATTCAAAGGGGCCCCTCTGTTCTCTCTTTTGCTAATTCTCTCTTCTCGGTTCACAGTGATTTGGGAGGGGCTTCTTGAACTAAGCCTTTTCTGGTACTTTGAGAATTTGTTGCAAGAATAGGGAAGACATTAACTTTAACCACAAAGATACACATTTTTAAAATAGCTTCCTTTCTTTTTTATTTATGTTTTTTATTTTATTTTTTCCATAATTTTACTGATAAACAAATAGCAATGAGATAGTTTCAAACCAAATCGGTAGGACAGTTTCAATAATTAACACACTGCATACGTTCTTCTTAGTGGTTAACTGCTGTACAAGAGCTAGCTTCTTTTCTGAGGTTACAAAAGTAATATGTATTGCAAAACTGAGGTGTTGGTCCTCTACCCGAGGGTGATAGATGCCTGACTAGAGGATCAGTCACTGCTGTCCATCTTGAGGGGAAGTATCTCGGGGAGAAGTTCCTTTCTCTCTTGAAGCCTGGCCTTCAGTTAATATAGCTCCTGCCACAGGTGTCTTGTGCCCTGACCTCTCCAGGGCTCAGCCCTGTCTGACTGTGCAATATTTCTAGATAACTTTGCTATAATGAGAGAATCTCATTAGAATAAAAGCTTTTGTGTCCTAGGGATTATTGTTCTTGACCCTGTCATGATGTATCTTTGAAAGCTGAAGTTAAGCCTCTTTGGTGGCATCCTGTGATCAAAGTTCTACAGATGCCAGCTGCTATTGTGTGTGCATGTGTGTAGATACACAAATCTCTCTCACACACACACACAATTACATACATATACAATTTGACCTAGGTTCTGTTCCTGTAGAGAGCCTTTACACCAGTAGTTTCAAAAATAGTATTGTCTTTCCTGTGAAGCACACTACAAAAAAAATTGTTCCCTGTGTGAATAAGGAGATTTTATAAAAATGTGCAACAAAATAAATGTAGAAATTCATTGATCCATGACATAAATTAGGCACAGAAGCTGTTTCACTGTACTAGGACAGGAAAGTGACAAATCGCTTCAGCAGCACAATCAAGATCAGCTAAATCCAAACAGAAGTCCCTCTTCCTGCTGAACTCTGGACCCTAAGACTTCTATTAGTTCTAAGAACTATGTGATAACTTTAGCTCTAAACTGCTTTAAAAGGCTCTATTATAATATTCTGTTAATTCATGTCCTAACTAATATCACACCTCCTTCAGGTGAAAGTCATGATTTCAGAACAGTAAATTGATGACATTTTATGTCAAATAATACAAAAACACCATAGAAGCCAAATAAGATATTTATTGTATGGGTGGGAGAGAGAGAGAGAGAGAGAGAGAGAGAGAGAGAGAGAGAGAGAGAGAAGAAAGAGGAGGAGGAGAGGGGAGGAGAGAGGAGGAAACTTTCAATCTGGTAGCTATTAAATAAAAGAAAAAATAAAAGCTAAAACCTTAAGATTATTAAGGATTACTAGGAATAACAAAAGGAAGATGCGCGTACATTGGTGAACCTTCTGCGCATGCAGCCAGGAGATGGAGGAGAAGAGCCGTAATGAATTAACACACTCGACACCATGTCTCCCAAGCCGGAGAGTTTCTACAAACATGTTCATTGGTGTTACCACCTTACTGGCTTTCTTCTGGTTTGCCTTTCTTTCAAACTAATAAAGAGAAAAGGGAAAAAAATACCAATTGCCTCACTCTAGTCTAACCACTGGTAGCATTCCCTATGCCACAGGATGTTTTCAGTGATTTAAGTGTCCTTTTTCCTTTAACATGAAGTTAGTCTTTGAGGCAGGGCGTAGTAGTCCAAGTGAGAGTACAGCTACTAAGAGCTACCAGATTTGAGTGCTTAGACAATGTATTTAAATTTCACACCCTTTGCCATCTGTACATAAACATATTACATTATTTATAAATACACATGGACATGTACAAATAAATATGCAGCATAATTATGCGTTGTTTGGAAAGGATTTCCAGGCACTGCCCTTAAACCTTCCCCCACATGCACCCAAGTTTCCATGTAAACCTACTGGAGGGGTACAGCTAGATGTTTATATCCAACACAGCTCAAAAAATAAAAAATAAAAATAAACTGCCAACTCTAAAGAAACAAGGCAATGGAAAACAAAACAAGAGAAAAAAGTCAAACTGCTGTTTCAAACTAACAATAAACAAAATGTCATAAGCCACAGCATTGGTTACATAAAGGTGAAGATTCTAAAATAAATCCGAGCTCTTCAAAACTGATGGGCCAGGGCTTTTGTTGCTCTGTGTGGTGGTGATCTCAACTGTTATCTATACATCTGTTAAGTAAGGTGAGGCTAAAGACCATTATTAGTGGGAGATTGTTCTAGTACAACTACCAGGCAGATAGAAAGCAGAGAGAATTCAGAGGTCCCACCACCAAGCAAATGTGGAAGTCGCAGTTTAAATTTGTAGAACAAGTATAATCGGAACACTTTTATCACACTTAGTCATGAAGTTCATTATATTTTAGATGGGAGTGTTAATAAAGAAATATATTCTAGATGGGAATGCTGTCAGTGTGATATCATAGACCAGATTTATTAGAATATATTAAAAGTTCTACTGAAATCACAGACTATTAGAATGTTACAGGTAACGAAATCCATAGTCAATTCACTTGTTAACATTTTTGTCAAAGAAAAAAAAACTATTCCTGAAATAAAATTACCCAAGTTCAACCTAGGACAATACTAGTAGAGACTGGGAAAAATTTTGGGGGGAGAGAGAGAGAGAGACAGAGAGAGAGAGAGAGAGAGAGAGAGAGAGAGAGAGAGAGAGAGAGAGAGAGATTGTATGTCATCATGTATTCATGTGATGCATGCTTATATGTGTGAGTATGTACAAGTATGTGTGTAGTTTTGTGCAAGTGTGCTGTGTGCATGTAGTTCTGTGTAAATATTTATGACAACATGTGACTGTATTTGTGCATGACCCTAAGTAATTGTATGCAATTGAGCAGAACTTACAGTGAGTACGTGCGTGTGTGCGTACGTGTGTGTGTGTGTGTGTGTGTGTGTGTGCGTGTGTGTTGGAACTAGGAACATTGAAGCTCAAACACCAGAAATGCAATTTTCATCACACAGCTAACTGGTTTTTCACAGGATCACATCTTGCTAGAGACTTTTATTTGTTCAACTAATCCTCTTTGACTAGCGGTGGCACCGAGCTCACTCCTTTTGGCTGACAATCTGCCTTCTGCACCAGCAGACAGAGGCTGAGGCTACAAGTGTAGTGGCAGCTGTTCATGAAATAATTGCACGTAGCCCCAG